TCCTCACGATCTCAAGTTGATATTCAAAGGTGTTTTCCGTTAAATTCTATTGAGAAAGTACAAGCTGACTCTAGAGTTACTTTGGAATTTTTCACGGGTGTATTCAAAAACCAAATTGTGTGCCCATATGTCATCAAATTCAGTTCCTCATTTGGTACCATAAAGAAAATGTGTTTCTGAACTTTTCTATCTCATTGACACAGTCATATATTCTTACTGGGACTATATTACATAAGTTATATTTGGCCTTTATACCTATATGAAAGAAGTTATGAGCCACATTGATCCCTATACAGTGGTACCTCGGTTTTCGAATATCTCTGTTGGCGAACATTTCAGTTTACGAATGCTGTAAACCCAGAAGTCAATGCTTTGGTTTTCGAACTGGCCTGGGAAGTCCAACATGCCACACGGCTTCCACTGAGGGCAAGATCCTGAGGCCTAGCTGTCGGCTGTTGATCCCTTGGTTTTTTCCAACATTTCAGAACTTGAACAGTCTTCTGGAATGGATTACATTAAAAAACTAAGGTACCACTGAATATAAATTATGTATTCCTAGTTAGGTTGCACTACCAAATGCATTTGCTGACTAGCCCATACATAAAGTTTCTATAAATGTATTTGGAACAATTTATGCCTACTTGTATAGAGTGAATGACTTCTGTGTGTGATAATCTCAGAAGCTTAAGGAATAGATTTCCTAGTTTTTTCAGCAAGCATTTACTTAGATTTTACACTCATATTTGTAATGCCGTCAGCTTTTGGTTTAAAGTCTGTCATCATCAAAAGCAGCATGGCCAATGAGAAAGGCGTTAGATTCATAAAACTTTAGAACTAGAAAGAGGTCTTGTGGTAGATAAACTAATTCCATCTCTTTCATTTAATAATGAGGATGCTGAGGCCAGAGAGAGAAACTGATTTGGCCAAGTCTATACAGAGAGGAAAAGTCATACCAGATCTGTATAACCATCCTTTAGAATATCACCCTGCTGCTGAACATTAGACTTTTCACTTTTGTCACTTTCAAATGTGCTCATTGTTGTACAAATTCTGAGTAGAAATCCTACTTCTCATATGTTGAATAAAAAAACAAAAACAAAAACAAAACACAACTTGTAAGAGAACAGTAGCTTATGACAGATCAGTGTTCCAAACCCAGTTTTAGAGAACTGAAAGTATGTTCTTATTTCTAGTTTGATGATGATGTCTACTTCTGAATGTCAGAAGCTCTTTGTTTCAGTGGTGCTGTTTGTGACTGGCACTCCATCCAAGTTTTTTCAAGCATTACCCTTACATTCTATGAATTAAAGCTTATTTTGCACCAAGGTTTCTTTAATGCCAACACAAATCTAAGTATATTGCAGACAGAGGAATTGTGACAGAGAACACATTTTGTTGTCTTTTATCCCATTAAGCCTTTAAGCAGTTGCTAAATGAGTTAAAAGGACCATAGTTTATAAAAGGTAGAGTCAGGATTTAAAATATTTTCTTGGAGCCAATTATAATTTCACTTATTGATGCCAGTGGGTAGCATTTCCACTTCTATTACGTCTTCAAAATCTTAATAGGTGTTAATTGGTACTAATGAATGTAATACTTTTAGGAAAGTGCTTCCCCATCTGATCTAATTTGTGGTTATTTTTAGCATTTATTGAGCAAATTAATGCTGTGGAGAAGAATTAAAGTTACAGGATGCAAAGAAGCATTTTTATACAGAGATAAATTTTAGTAGAAATGTGACATTCTGTAAGTTTGGTTTTGTGATTACCTTAATGCTTAGGCCTTTAAACTTTTTCTCATGTACCCCTTGAACACTAACAAGTTGAAATATACAAATTTTTGTTATATTCAAATAATTGCCAAGAATGTAGTTTCTAACTTTATAAATATTGATAAATAATAGTAAAACTATAATATCACTTTTTAAAATGTATTCAGTTGAATTAAGTACCAGAGATATTTGATGCCCATTATCACTCATTTAAAAAAAATACATAGAAATAGAATTAGTTTTTAAATCTTCTTGGGCAATAAGCTTCTGGATTAAACAATACAATTATTATTTGGATAAAATTAATCAAACTATAATATATTATAATTTCAATAAAGCATTATTAAGCAAATAAATTTATTAAAATGCATTGCTGAATAAAGTGGAAGGAGGCTGGGCTGAGCATCTGGACAGTAACTTTCTTACAGTTATTGTACCTAGTGAAAAGTCCTCTTGTATCTTTGTACACATCCTAGTTTTATGACCGCTGCCTGATGTGACAGGCTGCACCTTGGACAGGAGATTATTAAATTACCCAACATTATTTTGTGACTAACAGCAGACACTCTAGAGGCAGCCCAGGTGGACTTGAATTCCAGCTCTTCCTTTTGCTAATTGCATAGCTTTGGGAAATCTGCTTAAGTCCACTGTTCCTGTTTTCTCCCCCATAAAATGAGGATAACAGTTGGCTTTTGCATAGGTGAAGTGAAATGATACTTCTAACATGCTTAGAATAGTGTCTGACAAATACTGGTTAGCTGTACAGTCAATTCTGCATAATCTTTTAAATTCTTTTGAGAATTTTATAGGTAAATCTTAAAATGTCTGTGAACATTTCTCAGGCAGATTTAAATAATTTAAGGATTATCCATTGATACTTTTCTTACCTCTATCCTGGTCGATTAGATAATTTCCTACATTTCATATAAAAGTAGGACAATTTTCCCCACGCATGTGTATGCATACATAGATTCGTGGGCATGCATATGTCTGTTTAAGCCTATGAGTACTTAATGTCTGCCTATGACAGGGAAGCAAATCATATTTAGCCACAAATATTTATTGAACACACTATGACAATTATATCTTTACAAGAAAAAAATCAACTCTAAAACTTGCCCTGACGAAGGGCTTACAAGAAGTATGAATGTTAATAAGCCAATTTTAAAAATAATCTGATTTTTTTAAAAAAAATAACATCAGTAATCTTTCTGATATGAAGAGAAGTAGTGAATTCAGAGTAACGGATACAAGGAAGTGACATAGGCAACAGGAAAAGTAGGATGGGTAGGGAGAAAAATTAGCTACTTATATCTTAAATTTGTAGATAATAATGTAGCATCGATGTGACATCAAGGTATAGATATTAGAATTCGGGTTATGAATTTCTTTAATTTTTCTTTCTAAGGATTGCTATAAAAATTATTAAGTACAAGATGGTTATCTGGCTTCACTACTAGAAATTTCTGCTAGCACTCCCTGAACTGAACTCTGTTATATTGTTAGGAAACATAAAGGATATAATTGCTCCAGTGTATTTCTTTTATATATCCTGTTTTATAGAACCAATAGTTTACCATTAAGATATTTTTCAAAATATACTTTTTATATTTATGTGTATCTCCTTTTTCCCCTAGTACACATTAATTGAATAGGAAAGAACTGGAAAACTGAGAACTTTGACATGAACATTGGTATTTTATAAGACTGTGAGATGAGGAGACAGGACAGTTTCTCTTGAGTGTTATATCAGGTATTTTTGCCTTTGTAGTTCTCTGCTCTGTTTAATTCAGCAATTTTCTGAAGAGTTTAAACTCCCTCCCACCAAAGTTATATAGCATTTGAAAAATTTAAGTTAATTGGGAATAATTTTGCTGTGAAAGTTATACCTTTTGAAATAATTAGTATCATACATCCTACAATGTCGCAGAACCAATGGGAACCTTTGTTAAATTCATGTAAAAACATTGCTTAATTAAGGTAGATCTTTTATTAGGTCATAAGTAAGGCAGGAACCCTCTTAAAATACCACTTACTTTGGTGGACCTGGAAAAATAAATACTACAAAATGTGATTTTTAGCACACATGGTTATTAAGAGTCCTTGATTTATGCTTAGATATATATAGAGAGAGAATAGTTGACTATGGAGTGAATTTTAATAACAAGATTCCTGTTTGATTTTGGTGCTCATGATAAACTTTGAACTATCTTCCTGGATTAAAAAAAAAAGTCTAGCAGTCTGAAATAAACTTTTAGAAAAGAAGTGGGTGTATTTTTCTACTGGTGTTTTGGGAGATGGAATTTCTCAGTATATACTGTTCTCAAATACATTCTTTCTGCCATTAACCTATCCCTCCAAGCCCTTTCCAGGACCATAAGAATTTTTCCCATTTAAGGATCCCTTTAGCCCTTTCTTTCAGTACATAGACTTTTTCGTCCTTCCTTTACCTCTGTGTGTAGGCCTTTAGGAATTTTAAATGAATTAGGCTACAGCATTTCACTTCTATGAAGGGCTATTTTTAGTACATGATATTCTCTAACCCAAACATTCTCTGACGTCTGAGCCCTATGATTTTATAAATGCAAAAGGAAGTGATTTGGAATTTCAGAAAATAGTATAGACTCTTTTAACTTATGCTATTTTATGAACTTTCAAGTAGATGTATGATTCAAACTAAGCCAACAGTATCCCCCCAAAAAGTTTCTTAGAGAATCCCATAATGAATAGATGATTAGTTGTTAACTTATCAGTATAGTTTGTATAAATGGGTTCTTCTGTCTGACAAATATGAATTGTTCTCTAGGTAAATAAATACTTCACTTTCAGTCTTTTTTACACAATTATTTTGCTCAGCAGTCCTTTATCAACCCTCTTTGGGAGTGTTATGAAGATAGCTTAAGCTCTTTCTATGAATAAATGCTTTCCTATGCTTTTCTACTCTGCTGGTTTTACAAAATGAACCAGCAACTGCTGCTGCTTCTTAGGCCTTAGTGTGCTCTATCATAGTTGTTAGTTAACACATATTTAGCTATTTAGTTAACAAACACAGCATATTGGTATGGTTTTTACATGTCCCCCTATCACTAGATTATAAATTTCTTGAAGTCAGGAGCCATGGCTTGCTCAGCTCTTTATTTCCTATGGAACCAGCTTAGTGCCTTGAATGTGAATACCCCGTAAAATTCGTGGTAAGCAGGAACTCAAAAAAAATTTTTTTTTTAAACAGATTTGGTTCATTTGACTTGTACATCTTCTAAAACAGCAAGAGAAGATTTAGAACCAGTTGTGCAGAAATTGTTTACTCCATATACTGAAACGGAGATAGGTAAGAAAATAATCATAAACAATATTCATGATGGAAAGGTAACGTAACCACTTCACTCCTCTTAAATTTCTCATGAAGGTTTCTGCAATCTGAACTGAAATGTGAAGTATTCAGTAACAATGCTTACATGTTTTATTAGGATGATTGAGCACATTCTTATCCTAAAAATGGGAAAATATTCACTCTAATGGTAAAGGAAGAATACACATTACACACATAACATATGTAATTAAGTGCAAAAAATGTACATTTATATGTGTACATACACCTGTGCATAGAAAAAAGACTGCCAGGAAATCTCAATTTTGGCAAGTTTGGAAACAATTTTTTTCTTTTTAAATTTTCTTTATTTTACAGGTGTTACACAGAGCATAAATTCCTTTATCAGAAAAAGTGATCTTCATTTATGAAAAAAACACATTGGTTCAACTGAGAGAAGATTAAAATATTAATTGAACAATGTAGTAATACTTCCTAACTAATGTTTTTTAAATGCATAGTTTGTTAGTGATCTGATAAATATTTAGTTCTTAAAATAGATATGCCACCATGCTCCTTATTCATGGTGGAAAAATGCTTTTCAACCACAGACTTTTAATTTTATCTCCCTACATCATAGGATAGCTCTTGTAGTTCTGAATGGAGCAAATTGTAGTGTATTTTGTATGTAAGTGATCAAAAAACAGCCTAGTGGATCTTAATTTATATGAAGTGAGGGTGATTTTCATTTTAAGATTTGCATGTCCACTTGAATCATGGCCAGTTTCCTCATTGATTCATATATCTTCATTTCCTTTGGAGGTTACAGTTGTTCAGAAAATCATTTATTTACTCCTACATATTATTTCCTTTTAGTTCATCTCCTATGTGTCTTGTTTTCTTAATATAGAGATAGTATGTAGATGGTCATTCATATTTACATAAGAGCAAAAACTGATTTGTTCTCTGGAGCTAATAGCAATATAAATTAATTAACTTCTCTTTTAACTTACTGAATAAAATCCTACAATCTAAAAGTTTACTTCACTTTAGTTTGGAATTTAATTTGTTTCATATTTGTATTTTCTTCATTGGAAAGTCTCATGTAAATGTTTACATTATTGTTAAACATTTGCCTGCAAAGTTATGGTACATGATAATATTTCTAAACCTAATTTGGAATCATAGTTTTATCCTTGGCTTTAATTACTTTCTTTATAAAAGCTCTGAACTCCTTTATTTCTGAAATTTTAGATATTTTTTATTTTTATTGTGTGGTAGTCTCAAATAATACACTAAATTTGAATCTTGTATCATTGTTCTTCACTTTTTAAATGCATTTAATTTCCCTTTTTTTAAAAATCAAGTGAGGGAAATTACATGTTCATTACTTAGCATCCTCTAGCCATTTTAGATTTTTAAACATTAATCTTAATGTTGAAAGTGATCCCATTTTGAAATGATGTATTGTTTAGGACCTGAGTGAAATTCTTTAGTAAGAACTATGTGCTCAGAGGGGTCCTCAGGTGCACCGAGGCACTGAAAAGCTAGTTTTCACTGACATATAGGCCTTTTTATCATCAGGATGAGGTAGTGGTCATATTTTAATTAAAATGTCAGAACAAATACTGTTGGAGTTATTGAAAATGAATCACCAGATAAAGCGAGCACTGGGCCATGGCAGGTCAAAGAGGCAAAGTCACCTGGAAAAGAGAACTCAATTCATTTTCCTGCCTAAATGAGGAAGCAGGAACTTTATGAGCAATATGAACTTTTAATACATTAAAGCACATTCCTCTCTGTAGCAAAAGCACCTATTTTTACAGATTGATGGCTTTTATCATTATGTTTTGATTGACAGTGATATGAAACCTTATGCTTTAGAGCATTGTAAATATTTTGTTTTAAAGTGTGTGCCAAAGAAATAACTTCATTTGAGCTTATTTTTTTCTTTTTATTTGAATTCTATGTTCTGTGTAGTGCTATGCTTCATAAACCTTTGTGTAAGTCAGCCTATTTACTGGACAAGGAAGTTTATTTATTGTGAAAGATAATGTTCTCTTCTCAAATATAGTACTTCTTTGCCATTGTATCTGAGAAATTCAGTTGGGTTGTGAAGATTTTCACCTATTCCCTCTCTCTTTTTCGCATTTGAGGTGTCAGCCAGAGCTCTTGACATATGCTCTGTCTGAAGAAGCAGTTATACTAATACTTCCAAGAGCCCTACCTCCCAGGCCTCTTTAAGAACATCAAAGATCTCTAAACCCTTCCCTACTACTAGTCCAAAGAAATTTCAAATGTTTTATGCTTAATGAACCTGATTCTGCAGGTGAGAAAATTAACTGATTGCTCGTGATTCACATATGCGTTGATTCTTCCAGACATCCTTCAAAGCAGTGAGCAGTCTCACTGATAGAACTGTCCTATGTGGTTTTTTATTTTACCCAGGAAATTGAGATTTTTTAATATGAACTGAAGCAAGAATTTCATTAATACGGTATCTTAAAATGTCTACAATGTGGTATCATCACTGCATCACCTTCTTTCTCTTTTTCCCTCCATTGTGCATGGTGTGTGGAGTTACCTCATTCCATCTCATTCATTTCCTATCTCAAAAAAGCAGCACTTCCTAAACACAGAAATACCCCTTATAAAAGTGTTATGTTTTTTATTAAATATTATTGGATTGACATTGGTTAATAAGATTATATAGGTTTCAAGTGTACATTTCTATGATACATGGTCTTCCTTTTGCATTGTGTCCACCATCCAAAGCAAGTCATCTTCTGTCACCATATATTTGGCTCCCTTTACCCTTTACCTCCCCCACCCCACTTCCCTCTGGTAACTACTATACTATTGTCTGTGTCTATGAGTTTCAGTTTTATATCCCAGGTGAGTGAAATCCTATGGTTCTTAGCTTTTCTGATTGACTTATTTTGCTTAATCTACTCAAGGTCAATCCATGTTGTTGCAAATGGCAGTATTTCATCTTTACTTATGGCTGAGTAGCATTCCATTGTATATATATATGTGTGTGTACCACATCTTCTGGATCCAATCATCTATCAAAGGGATGTTATTTTGAAATTGGTGGCTGGTAATGGTGTTAAGTAATTGTTGGACTGAGAAGTCAAATGTCTTATCTTAATTCCTTTTTGTATTTGTTTCCCCAAGCTCCTGTTCTAAATACCTATTACTGTTTAGTCTTTCACACTAATTGAGTGAGCTATTACAGATAACCAATTTTACTTTTGGCCAATTGATATATTCCTAGCCAAACCTCCACAACCTTAATATTTTTTGATAATTGTGTACTTCACAACTACATGTTATTTTTCCAGCTCTCTCACTGCATCTCAAAGAAAGATGAAGCAATTGTATGTCTCTTTGAGGGTTTTAAGGTCAAAGCCTGATAACTCCTTTGTATCTGGAGTATTTATCTTCAGCCTATGTCAACTTTTCATCTTCCTCATGGTCTCTTTTTCAAAGCTTCAACCTCTATGAAATTTCCTTCCTATAAATTATTGGGTTATTCATTTTCCCCAAATGTTGTTTAGTGAAAACCCTCCTCTGACCTGGACCTTTCATGAAATACAAGCTCTTTATGTATGCTCAGAAACAGACTGGGCAATATTAAAGGACTTCTAGATCTTAGCCCACTATTCTGCAGTGCTCCTGGAGTCTGGTGTTAGAATTTGTAGGCGGAATGTTTAATTATCTTCCTGTAAGATTAATGAAACTAAACTCACCAGTAAATATACTAAGAGCCATATGGTTTCTGTTGTGAAATATGAATTCCTTATGACCCTTTATTTTGTCAGTAAATAGGTTTTGCAACCTATAGTGTGCTTACCTGAAGTTAGTGATGCCTTAGACTCATAGATCTTAGTATTAGAAAGGGATATCTTAAGGGATCACTTTTTACATGCTAATAATTATGGATTTTTCAGGATGAACTAGAAAAATAATGTATTTGGTATTCTTGTAGTAGAGATATTTTAAATTAAATACCATAAAATCCTGTTCATCCTAAATTGGGGAATGGGGTATTCTTGTTAATTGAATACTGCAGTTAGCTGAAAATTTCTTTATATTGATTACCAATTTAACAATAAGACTGAATCAACTAGATAACTGTACCTTTAGCATTTTCTTTATGATTCATAATGTGCCTCATGGTCTTGGGTAATCTTCATATACATCCATTATTATATAGAAGTTGAATTTTTGTTCAGATTCAGACTAAAGAAAGTGATATAGTCAATAAATATTTTAACAGCAACATTTTTGTTTTCAACCAAGTAAAATTTAATTATAACATTTCTAAGGAAGAGAGACAGAAAAATAATTATTAAGATAGCAAGGAATAGGCTTTAGGTATTGAGGTAAATAAGGTTGGACCTTTTATTAAGCACATCATACTTTCATTATACCTAAAAACAGGATTAAAATCAGTTCAGAAATTATTCATTGAGCATGTGTTGTGTGCTAGCCCTGTACGAGGGGACATAAAAAGCAGAAAATTAAGGACTAAGTCTATTTTAACTGTGTATCCCCAGCTCCTCGCCCAATCTCTAACACACATAATATACATGCTTGATGTTAAATGAGAGAATGTGTGCTAAAATAACTTGCAGTCTCCAACCTAATTTCTGTTATTTGATTGTTGGTTCCAATTAATTTTGTAATCCAGTAGGGCACAGTGAGAGTTAGGATATCTAAGTTTTAATCCCATATATGCTATTTTTAATGACAGCTTTATTGAGATATAATTCACACACCATACAGTTCACTCATTTAAATGTAGTATTTAGTGTCTTTTAATATATTCACACAATTTGTTCAGATATCACCACAGTGAATTTTACTATATTTCCATCACCCCACAAAGAAACTCATATCCAGTAACATTCATCCCCCACTTACCCCCATTTCCCCAGAGCCCTAAGTAACCACTAATTTACTTTCTGTCTCTAGATTTGTCTAGTCTAGACATCTCATAATGCTGTTATACCATC